CTCTCTCTCTCTGAGTAAATGGGGTAATACCAACAAAAATGGAAACAAACTGTATAGAGCACTGGGGAAAATCAAGCATCATAGCACCCAAATGTGTGTGGCAGTTAGTTTAATGCACCATAACCCTCATAGTGATATTCTTCTTTTCTGCTAACAAATGAATATAAAGGGAAACCTCTAAATGTCCATAGCTGCCAGAGGGTTTAAAACCAGGATAGTTGGAAATGCAAGCAAATTGAAAGGTTTATCTTTTTGCGTATTTAAAGGATCTATTAAATGTTTAATATAAATGCAGGAGAAATTGTATAAGATGGTCAGGGATGTGGCTGAAAATGCCCAAGGATATAGCTTATGAGTAAATATAGTCTTTTGAAAAATAGCAGTCCTGAATGGAATGCAGTGAGCCAGGGCTGGCGACAGACTTCACCAGGCCCTGAGCAAGATTGGGGGGCAGGAGGCTCTGCTCTGGCCCCTGTAAGGGATAGGGCCTCTGGTAGAAGAAGCAGGGCTAGGTGCTAGTCTCTCCCACTCAACCCTCAGTGCTGCCCAGGAATCTAGTAGTGATTATAGCAGAATTGCATACTCCTCCTTCCCATACAAAACTAAACCATACTGGCATAAATTGTCCTCAGGGTATGTCCATACTTGCCATTTAAAGTTGAAAAAATCCCCATTTTAAACAAAAAAATGTGGGGGTGTTGACACATGCCGATGACTTTTTGTGGTATCAGTACCGTGCCTAGCACAATGGGGCCCTGATCTTTATTGAGGCTTGCAAGAGTTGCCATATGACAAATACATGCAAATAATTCAGGCTAAGGTATTGTTAAACCAAAACTTGTCTATAGCTGAAAAGAATAAAATATGAAATTAAATTGAAAAGGATAATGTGTTGCAGACTAAAAGAAAATATCTAGTAAAGAAGAAAAACATGTCTGTTTATGGTTGTTTCCAATGCAACTCAATTAATAGTTGCCTATTTTCTTGCTTTTGACGCAAACTACTGATTCTGAATGACCCACAATTCTCCTTTTTGTTTAACTGTCAATCCTGTCAGCCTCTTAAAAATTCAGTGTTGTTCTCAACTGCAATTAAAATGAATAATATATACAAGTGATTCAATTCAAACTGTACATAGAAGGGAGTGGCTTTTTGAGGGAGTATCCAGATACAGTTTGAAAACAGAACACCAGGAAAGAATGAGTCAAAATGGCTTTTCCCTGAGCCACCCTCCACCCAAAAACTTGAGCTCAGGTAAAATAGTAGTACTTAGGACTGATGTAATAGCTTTTTTCCATAGATCTCAAAACTCTTTATAAAGATGGGCAAGCATAACTACATCCATTTTACAGATGGAGAAACTGAGGCACACAGAAAATGAATTGCATAAGGCTCAATAGGAAAGCCAAGACCAGAACTTGGCTTGCCTGTCTCCCAGTGCAGCACAGTCTCCTCTGGGCCTCTCTGTAGCACCATAAATCTGCATAACAAAATTTGATTTCCAACCACTCTTCATTTTTCAAAATGAAAATTTTCCATTTCCGCACTAGCGGACATTTAAAAATGGCGGCGCCAGGTTTCATTTGCAACTCTGGTTGCCTACATTACCACCCTAGTTCGAACTAGGGTGGTAGTGTAGACATACCCATAGCTAGGAGGGCTGGAGCTCTGCTATCTTACCTTCCTCCAGACCAGGTAAGGATCCCTCTGCCCCAAACTTGGAGCCACCCTTCCCCCTGGGGGAGAGACCACAGGACATGGGGGGGAACTCACTGAAGGAGGGGTCAGCCTCCAGAACCTGGCCCCTATGCACACAGCCTGCAGGCAGTGAGGGGGGGGGAGGAGGAAGGCTGCTGGAGCAAAGGCAGGTGTGTGGTGGAAGCCTCTGGAGGCTACCCCTCTCCAGACAGCTTGCGGGCAGCAGGGAAGGCATCTGGAGGCAGGCGCAGCCCCAGGATATTGACCCCTCCCCAGACAGCCTGCAGGCTGTGTGTGTGGGGGGGGGGGAGCTGGAGGAGTGGGCAGCCCACGAAGCCTCTTCACTCCCCACTTCCCCCAGACAGTCTTCAGGCTCACAGAGTGCTGTCCCCCGCAACAGACTGCAGGACAGGATGGCCACTGCCACAAACAAGGACCCTCCTGAAGCCACTGCAGGCTGGAGGGCAGCGGCAGGCCGGGGGCTGACCCTCCCCCAGATAAGCTTCAGGCCTGGGAGAGTCCCAACCTCCACCTGACAAGTGCACAGACCCTGATTCCTCCCTCCTGGAGGAGTCACCCTCCAGGGAGCGCAGCCCCAGCTTCTCGGGAGGATCACTGGCGGGGGGGACGGACCCAACCCCCTGGGAGGGAGTTGCTGCCATAGCAGTGCCATCCTCACTGCCATAGGAGGCCTCAGTTAGTCTTTCCCCTCCCCGCCCTGCCCCATCTCCCAGCCTCCAGTCCTGAGCTCCCTGCCCTGAGTCCTGCACCTCCTTTCCCTGGCCCTGAGGCCACCTCATGCCCAGCACCCCCTAACCCTCTGCCTCTCCTTACCCCCGAGCCCTCACTCCAGCCTTGATTTTCCTTCATTTTTAAAATATTCAATCTTGGAAATAAAGCATGTACATTTTTCATTTATTCAAAAAAACCTCCAAAAATTACTTCAGTTAAAGACCTGAGCAATGCCAGGTACAGCTGCTAGCAACTGATGTATCTCTAAGACACGCAGCCACTTTGCAAAACTGTCCCCCTGTAGCCAGCTAGATATTGTGCCAGTCAATATGAACTTTTGCTAACCTTAGAGCTATGAAATATAGCGGAGTTCACTGGGTAGAGGAAACACCCCCTTATCAAATTTTCCCTGACAATTGACATTTAAAGTGCTGTTCCTTTAAATATCTGGCAGTTCCCCAGATTCACAGTATTTACAACGGACATCTTGGATCAAAAGGAAGAAATGCCCTTGGCTATTTAAAAACCTTATTTACATGCTGATAGCATTTATAACTCTCATTTAGATTCTCTGCCCCTTCTCCCCCAGTCCTTCAGTGACAATGATCTTTTCAGAGCTCTTAATTCACTTCTAGCAGACATCTTGGATTCTACAGTTACGGGACGGAAACTTCCCCCATGCTCCTCCCACAACTTGGCAGCACTGCTAATAGTATTAATCATTTATATAATGGCTCATTATATTACAGGCAGCTGGTTTGCAGACAGTCACCAAGAGGTTGGCTGATCATTGTGCAGTAGCTGGAATGTTTCCTAAAATAGGTGTGTTTTCAGGAACTGCTTCCATGAGGACCAGGAGGAAGCTTGTCATAGATGAACTAGAAGCAGTCATTTATTCAGACTCAGTAACCAGATTCTGTTCTGACAAAGAGAAAACACGGTTCTTTCTTGTCACGTATGTGGGATCTGAACCTGCCCTGAACATAGCGTGATTTGGGAACTGCGATTTAATTTATGTTCTTTTCTGACTACACTTATAAGATGGTATCATTTTTAAACGGAGTCTGGAATGATTTGAGTTACTAGGATCCATCTCAAAATCATGCCAATAAAACCTCGGTACCACAAAAATTGTCAGGTATCCTGTATATGCTGAATGTTTACCAAAGGGGATAAATATAGATATCTCATTGAGCTTGAAAACATTTTACTGTTACAATTTTTTTGAACCCTTTCAGTCGTATCCTTTGTACTGTTTGTCCATCTGTACAGGCCTGGGAAGGAGAGAGGAAATTATGACACATACATTTTAGAGACTTCTGCAAATAGTTTTTCTATCTGTAATGGAAGTCCCAGCATTTCTCTATCTGCCTAGGCCATGCTATATTGGAAAGAGCATAATCCCAGCTATGTACTGAGATTAAAAAAAATTCCAAAATCTAGCAATTAATTATATACTAAGGTAGACCTATTGCTGGTCCAAAATGCTGAACCTGAGATCTGTGTAATTTCAAGGAGAAAAGAAATAATTTTCCGTGACGTAATTTAAAAAAAATTGTGGCTGTTTGCATATGCTCACAGGTTTGGAATGTTAGACGTAGTCCCAGTGAAGCTGGATTAGTGGGCAGAGAGCAGGTGATAGGGTCAAAAGTGCATCTTGGCTTCCATTTATCACATGGATATCACTCACGGGTAAGTGATGTATGCATATGTTCATGCTGAACAGCACAAGTATTTGTGTGGAAAGTGGCAGAGATATCTGGGGAGTTCCATTAGCTTCAAAGGTGTCAGCAACTGCAGTGTTGCAAAGCTGTGGAGTTGGACAAATCTTTAAAAAGTGGAATCCTGAGAGAAACAAGCCTGGGACGTCTGTATTATGATTTCATATTTTTTGGCTTCTCTGATTCAGACTAGCATCAAACCGCTCCCCTTCCTGCCTTCCTTCCCCCAGGAGGCTGCCATGACCTTACTAACCACCCACGGTTTCCATGTTATTGTCAGCATCCTTACACTTGACTGATGAGAAGTATGTGATTGTTCAACACATCATAAAAACAGCTATGGCAATTGAAGGAGAGATCTGGAATATATTTATAGAAATCTGTAAACAATCATTTCAATTCCACTATTCAGTGCCATGCACACATTAGTGTATGAGCTATTGAGCTGTCAGATTTTCTTTGATTCTTTCGCCCCTTTTAAAAATTACCAAGTGCTCAGACTTATTTCAAATCATTTTGTATTTCATAATGTTTTGTTTACAAAGACAATTTCTTGTTTGAACTGCAGTAACCTACATGGTTTTCTTTTTATGATTACACATCTTTTCATTGATCTTTAAGGGGCTTGACAAGCCATGATCCACTGATGTTCCCTGTATGTGCTAAAAGGCTTCTTTAGGCAATTCTAGCACATGCACCCATCCATTACATACAGCTCAACGTATGCTTTAAATAGACAGCAGGAAAAAAATAACTGTGAAACTCTTTTGGAAAGATAAATAATGCAACAGTGGGACATTCATTGCAAAAGTCTGTGGGCTTTAGGTGCGAATCAGGCATTTTACTCACCATAGCATGATTTAGCCACATTGGAATGATGCCATCCAGGCTCTTGGGGTAAACCAGTTCTCGGTTGTATGTATACAGCACCCAAAAGGACATAAACACAAACTGTAACAAAAGAGGTTTTTTTGTTTTAAAAGGCAAAACAGTTTGCAGGAAAAATGTGAGATAAAATAGCTGACATATCACACAAATAACAAAGTAAAGAAGGGACAGTACTGCAAGATGCAGCTAGTCTTGAGCGGGCTGCTGGGGCGTATATCTATAAGAAACTTCTCCTCTCCTCTAGCAACTGCTGATGCTGAAATTTCCATGGAACATGTGACTTGAACCAGTCTTATGTTGCCAGTGGGATCTGGGATGGTCCCAGGTTCCTATGCCTTAGTTGTGAGGCCAAAGGATTTGTTCTGCTCAATAACAAAGTAAAAGCAGATCGTGGCAAGACTGATTGTTTAAATCTTGGCATGCCAGGAAAGTCTGTAAGCTTCATTCCTAAGCTATAGGTACAGGAGTAGGCTGTATCTTGGGTCCATCTGATCCAATAGGGGAGGATTTACAGCCAGAGGATTTAAGAATAAGAAATGAATCCCGGTATCAGCTACTGATAGCAGAAAGCTCATTTGTACTTTCTTGGCCTGGTTTGACGTTTAAGCACAAGTTGTCCATATTATGGAAACTGAGGGTATGAGAGGTGGGGAGGATTGTCAATACTAAATATAGTGCAGGCAGGTTACAGATAGGTACATCCTGGAGTTCAACCCTTTTCTGTTACATACCCGGACGCGTGCACAGGGTTAAAGAAACTGGCACACAAAGAACGACTAGTAGCCCGATAGCTTAGTCTCAGTCACAGGAAGGACCTCTTTTGAGTCACCTAGCTGAAATGCTTGTGGCCCCAGTTAAAGATGAGCTTCAGCTCTCTGGAGACCAGCTTCTGCCAGTCCCTCTCACGCTGAGTTGTACTTACTCATGTGAGTATTGCATTAGTTCTAGTCTGGCCCATTCTATGCAGAACCATTTGGCAGACAAATATCTACATATGAACAGACAGTCCAAAAAGTATCTGATGTAGATTACTCTAAGTCGTGTCATTTAAGTCTGTTTCTCTTTTGTGTTTAACTTCATTGTGCTGTCTGGGAAGATAATATAAGGATTTGTTGCCTTTTAAGACTCTTAAGGCAGATCTTGCCCTTTTGGTGAAACTACTTCAGTAGGAACAACAAGAAGTCTTCTGGCACCTTATAGACTAACAGATATATTGGAGCATAAAGGTGCCACAGGACTTCTCATAGTTCTTGCGGATTCAGACTAACACGACTACCCCTCTGATACTTCAGTAGATAATTTCAGTGACTCTGTTCGTATAAGGTTGGCAGAATGTCCACTTTCTGCCCTTCAATTTTCTTGGCTTTCCATGTGCCTATGTCTGAGTTGTAGGAGGGGCTTGTAAACCACCATGTCGGAGCAACATATTCAACATTAAACCACTAACTGGCCTCACATCTGGGGCTAGATTTAAACATTGTTTCTTCATTTATATGGACTCCTACTGTTTTCAAAAGACAAAATGAGGCTCTCTAGTAATATCTGTATCTATTTTGTATGAGTGTATGTATATATCTGATTATTATAATGGACACTGGTTACTTACCGTGGCCACAGGGAAAGCCAGGACACTGAAGAGAAGGTCTCTGCAGGAAATTATGTACTTAACACTTTGCAGTTTCTTAATTAGTCTCAGCACATCAGCCAGGAAGGAGACTCCATAGAAAACAGCCTGCAAAACCTAAATTAATTACAGATAATGAAGGAATCTTCATCCACCTTTAATTAGCATGTTCCTGCATGAACTCAATACTTGCTCTTTAGGGAGCTGTTTTGTTGGTGAACTACAAGTCAGCACCAGGGAAATAGCTTTTGGCTCAATTTTCCTTATTAACTGAAAGTGATTGAACTCAGTAGTTCAGGAGATTACTTTAACAGTACCTCATTTAATGGCCCAAGCAGAACAGTGTGGCGTGAAGAGTGAGCTTTATTCAGACTGGAGGTGGCAAGATATGTTGAAAGATAGGCCTTTTTGCAATTAATATGTTAATTTTTAACCTCGAGGTAACACAGCGGTGATGGGAGGGGAGAAATCTGTGGCTATTCCTGCAAAGCAGCTGCTATAAGCATTCTCACAGGTTAGCCACGATGGTGCTTCCTGTCTGGTGATGTATTGGAGGTCAGGCCAACATCACACCATTTAACCCAAACAAAACACTCAAATAGGACGGTATTAGACAGAGAAGCCATCAAAAAAAGAATCGTCTTGGACTGGGTTCTGAACCTATTTCTGCTGAATTCAGGGGGATGCAAGAGTAGGACTTCACATTTAGATCTTCAAAGGTTTTTAGGCAGGAGTTAGCTATCTCAATACCTTTGAGGATCTGGATTTCAGTAACTAGAAAGAAGACCTTAGAACTGTGAGAGCTGGGGTGTAACCAAAAAATGTAACCAACAAATTCTGGCTCTTTTTTGTAATTAGCTGACTTTATAGCTGGTCCAATAATAGTATGCAAATAATGTATAACCTGTATTCTCTTCTACTGATCCTCCAATAATTGTATTTGAAAATAATGCTTTTCATTGTTCAACCACTGATTGTGCTACACAATGAACCGTGGTGCATTAAAGTAGGAAGAAGTAAAGATGAAGCGTATTAAGAGCTTGCTGCTCGTTGACTGCTAATCTGTGCTCCACTTTGAACCTGAGCTCAGGTCTCTTGATCACTGATGGTATTTTTAAGGCTAAATTGTCCCACTGTTGTGCTGGGAAACTGCCTATTGCAAATGCAGGCACTGTTGAAATGGAAAGATACTGTCCGGTATGCAGAATGATGTCTCTTTGACCATGATCTTACCCTGAATCAGATTTTTATTTTGAGTACCTGTGATAGCTGAGCTAGGACTGATGACTGCTTTGGGAGACTGGAGAGGTGAGGCTGGGAGAGGACAGTGTTTGAACAGCACTTCCACAGATAATGCTACACTATCAGATGTCTGACAGAAGGGAAGAAGTGGTGGGATTTCAGGTCAGCAGTCTTCAGTTTTGTACTTCAATGAACTTTTCCCTAAATAAAGTTTTAGAAGAAGAATAGAAGATGGGGAGCAGGATGACTTTCTCCCCCCGCAACCCACCTTAGGATGTCAAAGGGTATTTAAATATTAATTACTTACTCTTCACAACATCCTTATCAGGCAGGCAATTAGCTTTAAACAAAAGACAGGGAAACTGAGGTACCGAGAAACTGAGAGACTTGCCCTTGGTGGTCACATAGGAATATGTGGGAGATGTGGGAGTGAAATGCAGATCACTTGGCAAATAGACTGTGACACACCACCAAGACCATTCTTCCTCCAAAAAAGGACAGGAGCCTTACGGACTGATTAATGTAATTGTCATTAAAAATGACCATGCCAGAACTAGAAATAGTAACCATCTAAGTTCATTCTAGATTGAGACACAAAAATAGCCCTTTAAATATGTGCACGTCTTTCACCATTGACTCTGAGATCTTTCTTATGAAGGATGGCCTCTATAACTGTGGGTACAATTTTTCTTTCTTAAGGGCTCCATCTTGCAAGGTGCTGCACTGAGAGCAGCAAAGCACATAAGCATGTGCCCAACTTCAGTAGCACTCCATGTATACTTAAAGTTAAGCACGTTTACACGCCTTGTCAGATCAGGGCCTGGGAGCCTGTTTCTTGAGGTGCACACATGGGAGCTGGGTGCTTAAGAATTGTTTTTGTTCCTGTATGCAGTTGGCTGTAAATACCACAGGCTGCAGAGCCAGCTATAATATTCAATTCAGTTCTTTCTCCCTATACTTTAAACAGCATGACAAATGGCAATGAAATGACCTGGGTGACATGATGACAGTGAAAGTCTGGTGACGCATCATGACTAATGGTTAATAAAGCATCTCATAGGCTTTCCCTGTTTGAGAGAGGCATAGTTCCCAGAGTACACGGGTATGATTGCCGCTCTTATGGTGAGCCCTACATTAATCATGGAACAGAAATAAACTTCATTTCCTCCTTAAAATCAATTAAAACAAACATTTGGATGGAAAAGAAACAGATGGTCCCAAAATATCCAAGTTCTCAGTCTAGCATTTTTTCCCTGTAGCTTACAGAAGAAGTCAATAATATCTTCCATGCTGAAAACTTTCCATTCATTTTTCTTTATTCTGATAACACTTCTTGAAATGCATGAGATAATATTGCACAAGCTTCTATATTTCTTCCCATTCCCTTTGTCTTCAAAAACAGTGACAATACAGAAATGAACAGTTCAAGGAAATTAACCACCAAACTGAAATAACATTCCATCTTATACCTGGTTGAACAGAAATAGAGACATGCTAACAGTGAGTGTGCACTCTCAAATTGCAAGAGCAACTAACGATAGGCTTTGGAAAGCTAGCTATTGTCCTCGCCCATCTCAGAAAAGGAATTGTGATCTTGCTAGTCAGTTTAGGATGGTGAGACTCATTCTTGTGCGGAAGGCCTGCCTGCCTGAGGCTTATGAATACTTCAGTCCCTCTTAAGCCTTATTTGGAGGCGAAATTTCTGCTCAACGAGACATATCTACACTAACTCTGGTCAAACTCAAACACTAAAAATAGAGATGTAGGCTCAATTCAATGAGCAGCAGAGGGTCTAGCCACTCCATCTATGATCCAGGCCAAGAGACTAGTTAAGAACTTTGGATGCCTAGTCTGTGCCACCACTCACACCTCTGTTTTTAGTGCTGTAGTCTGATGAAAGCTAGTCTCCTCAAACTGGAAATGATGCCTCCAGCTTGAAGCGTACACATACCTTTAGAGGAGTGCAGGAAAGAAGCCCTGATGCCATAGGGTACATCTACATTGCAACTAGACACCCATATCTGGCCTGTGCCAGCTGACTGGGGCATGCAGGGCTTGGGCTAAGGGGCTATTTAAATGCAATGTAGACATTTGGGCTCAGCCTGCAATCTGTGTTCTGGGTCACTCCACCTCAGAGGGTTCTAACCAGAGCTGAAAGTAACTTTAATTTCTTACAGGTACTGTTGTATTGCACCCACTCCCTCCTAGAGGGGGTTTCAGGACAGAGGGTTGGGTGATGATATGATAGTACCTATAAGAGATGTGTGGGATGGAGTTCAGGGGGCTTCCGGGCAGGAGGTTGGGAGGAGGGGCACAGGAGTGCACAAGGGTTGGGAGGGTGAGGGGTGTACCTATAAGAGATGTGTGGGATGGAGTGCAGGGGGCTTCCGGGCAGGAAGTTGGGAGGAGGGGCACAGGAGTGGGTGCAAGGGTTGGGAGGGTGAGGGGTACAGGAGTTAGGGTTGGGGGTTTGTGAGAAGCAGCACAAGGCAGGGAACTGGTGTGTGTGCATCCGGGGGAAGTGCAGGAGACCAAGGATGCTATTTAGGGAGGGCAGGGGGGCTGAAGCTCCCAGCCCCAGGATTTCTGCCAGAACACTGCTTACTGTTTCCCTTTGGCACTGTCAGGGAGTGAGAGGAAAGCACACAGCTTGGGTCATTCACTCCTCTGCCCCCTGCCCTCCCCAGCCAGGAGGGAGAGGGATGCAGGCAGACACGCTGTGTGTTGTCCTCTCGCTCCCTGAGAGTGACAGGAAGGGGAACAACAGCAAGAGCATACCAGTGTGAGTCTCGGGTAGGAAGTTTAAGCCCCACCCTCATCCTAAATGGCACCCTGGAAAGGGTTCTTGGGGATAGATCAGTCCTGGACCAGGGAGGGAATGTGCCCCCAGTGGCCCCTTTAACCTGCTGGGCTGCCAGCTGCTTAGCATGACAGCTTGCAGGAGAGCCAGAGGAGCCCAGCTGTAAACTCTCCACCTCCTCCTGCAGCAGAGTGCCCCAGCCAGCCAGCTCCTGCTTGCCAGAACAGTGCACCAGAGCACAGTACTCTTCTACTGATCCTCCAATAATTGTATTTGAAAATAATGCTTTTCATTGTTCAACCACTGATTGTGCTACACAATGAACCGTGGTGCATTAAAGTAGGAAGAAGTAAAGATGAAGCGTATTAAGAGCTTGCTGCTCGTTGACTGCTAATCTGTGCTCCACTTTGAACCTGAGCTCAGGTCTCTTGATCACTGATGGTATTTTTAAGGCTAAATTGTCCCACTGTTGTGCTGGGAAACTGCCTATTGCAAATGCAGGCACTGTTGAAATGGAAAGATACTGTCCGGTATGCAGAATGATGTCTCTTTGACCATGATCTTACCCTGAATCAGATTTTTATTTTGAGTACCTGTGATAGCTGAGCTAGGACTGATGACTGCTTTGGGAGACTGGAGAGGTGAGGCTGGGAGAGGACAGTGTTTGAACAGCACTTCCACAGATAATGCTACACTATCAGATGTCTGACAGAAGGGAAGAAGTGGTGGGATTTCAGGTCAGCAGTCTTCAGTTTTGTACTTCAATGAACTTTTCCCTAAATAAAGTTTTAGAAGAAGAATAGAAGATGGGGAGCAGGATGACTTTCTCCCCCCGCAACCCACCTTAGGATGTCAAAGGGTATTTAAATATTAATTACTTACTCTTCACAACATCCTTATCAGGCAGGCAATTAGCTTTAAACAAAAGACAGGGAAACTGAGGTACCGAGAAACTGAGAGACTTGCCCTTGGTGGTCACATAGGAATATGTGGGAGATGTGGGAGTGAAATGCAGATCACTTGGCAAATAGACTGTGACACACCACCAAGACCATTCTTCCTCCAAAAAAGGACA